GCCTAAGCACTTGATGTCGCATCATTTTTTCAAATGAGGCTATAACCTGATGAAGAGAGATATTTTTAGCAGAGTTGGAAGGACACTATGCAAAGAAGACGGTGGTGAGGATATTTGTTCCTAGTTTTGGAAGGGTCATAGCAGACGTGTCCTTAATTTGGATCTCGACAGACATACATGTTGTCCTTGGGTAACTTTCCTAATTTAGCTTCGTTTTTCCTGTTTACTACTGCTCTGCATTCTGCAGAGCCAGAACTTCACCCAGGAGCAGAGAGTGTTGTTTTTGTTGTAGCTGCTCTGTAAAGTTAGATTGAAGTTATTTTAGCATGAGTTTTCCTTTATTTTAACGCCTGCTTTCCTATTTGTGCTCTGCTCAAGAAGCTGGGATAGCTGAGCTGCCCTTTCCTGATGTTCTCAAAAACATTTGGGACTGCTTACTAAAGCATTGTTTTTCTCAGTCAGTTTGAAAGAACTGAAGCTTGTATGCACAGAAAATACCTTTGAAGTCTTTATTCAGATATTCTGTCTATACTAAGAAACTGGCTTAAATAGAGTTTTATTCTAGAAAGGTATCTTTTGAGGAGCCCTGATACCAGTAGCTTCAAAATAAAGATAGTATGTATGGCTATGTATTGTGTGAGATACAAAAATTTCTCACTGCAGAATGCTCTATTTGAGTCTGGTTTTCCCCTAAAATGTCAATTGAAGATTTTGTTTACATGTTTTCTAGGACTAACCGAAGATTCTGATGATATATCCAATCTCATGAACCCTAAATTTTTCATTTTTGCTGAAAAATATTACTTAATTCCCCTTCATCAAATATGCTAATAGCCTCCATCATCTTTGATTTCTGCATGGTTTAATTTCCATCCTAAATTATGAGTTAAAACTCAGCCTCCTAATAGTGCTTGAAGATCAAAAAAAAAAAGCAGAAAAATGGAACTAGACATAGAAAAGCTAATGTAACCTAGGAAAAGAATGAAATCTATCTATCTATATATTTTAAAGACTCTTTCTTTTGTAAAAGTATGATTACTAACCCAAGTAAAAAAGTTTTATCAAAATTCCACTGGTGTTTTGGAGTACTCTACTCAGGGACATATTCTTTGCTGTATGACACTTTCTTCTATTGGTCTTAGGAACCCATAAACCATGTAGGATGTGACAAATTGCATCCATATGTGTCTGTTAGAGGCTTTTTGTTCAGTTATAGTGTATATGGCACTGTCATATATTTCACATATAGGAAATACCTTTGTTATGAACATATCTTTGCAATTGGGAGGCCTCCTAACAAATTTTCTAGGATCTGGGTGCAAAAGTGCATGTAATGCTTTAACATGCTCTGAAATACTCTCCAGTTCCTTGAGATGTCTATTAATATTTGCAGTTAGACTAATGGTAAATTAATCTTGTATTATGGCCCTTGTTCATCCATGTTCCAAATAAATCACAAGCCTGAAATTTAGGAACACAAACACATAGTTTGGTGAAGCTTATTTAGAGAGATGAAGCCTTTTTGGACTTGTAGCCTGGTGGCAGATTAGAGTTTAGCAGGTGGTGTAAGGGAGCACACCTCTTTCAAAATTTGTGGCTAAGGTTATTTAGAGGGGGCTCTAATTTTTTGGATTCCCTGTGGCTCTGTGAGACACTATAGATTCCTAAACTGATCAGTTTAGGAACTGAAGTGTGCAATGCAATGTGCAGACAGGACATTTTAATGTGAGGCTTACAACCACAGCTGCTGCCTGAAGAAGAAATCTCATATTTCAAAACAATCCATGTTTTTGCACGATGTAACTTGTTCCTTAGTTTTTCTGTCAGTGATATGACAAAATTCTCCATGTCTCATCAGCTCAAGACTGGATCCACTGCAACAAGCACCCATCCTCCATTTGTGGCCAGCAGTAGGGAATATCCCTCCTTGCTAAACATCCTGGCAACCTGTGCTTCAGGGGATTTCTGAGCTAGAAATTTGTAATGCCACTCTTGCAACTCTGTCAAATGGCCACTGGTGGACCAAGAGTCTGTGGATTTGGCAGACCCCTTTGGAACTTATTTGAACTGCTGAGCTCTAGCACACCTTATGACAATGACTTCCATGGTTTAATCATGCCTCATAATTAAAGAGGGAGAAAGGCTTGTGACCATTAGTTTGAACCCAGCTGCCTCATATCTTCATTGGGTGCTGGTACTTCTAAAGCTATAAGAAAACCAAACATGAGTGTATGTCTCTTTTCACTTTTTCAGGGCTACAAATAAAGACTGCATATAATTTAAATGAGGAGAAAAAATGTAATTTAGGGAAGTCTTAATTTTACTAATGACAGTCTCTCAAATTAAATATACCATCAGAGAAATATTTCTTGTGGTGTCTCTCATGTAAAGATAGTCAACAGTACTAATGACATGTATTTCTCTTGATGGGATTGTTAAGGTGTTCCTACTTTACGTGATGCTAATGGCCCTCCATCTTTCTCATGGGGACGTCCTCAGAGAATTCTGAACTGAATCTGCTAATTAACTGTTTATTTTCATATAATACCAACTACATGTAGTATATAAATGCAGCTGTTTCATGGGTGATACAGATGTCATAACACATATTTTCCAGGAGAAGAATGCAGAAGTCGGGAAGTGTATTGTGCCTTAATTGCCCCAGTGTCAAACACAGATAACTCCACATTAATGGTGTTCCATTAGCGTCAGAAGGTTTGTTAATGTGGGACAGAATGATCAGGACATCTATTTAAAGAACAGCAGCCATTCATTCATTCTGGAATGGCATGTGAACTGCAACACTAACACTGTGACTAATCAAAAAGAAAAAAAACCAAACTGACATGCAGTATTTTCGTGAAATGAAAGGGTAGATAGCTACTGAACCATATTATCATAGTTATGTTATAAATGTGTATTTTATATATGTGTATTTTTATATATGGATAATATATATAATATATATTATTATAGTTCCTACAAGTACAGCCAAATTTTCATTATAAAAATGTAAGTTTCTGAGTAGGGGTAGGAAATGTGATATCTGAAAGAGACGAGGGTTTACATTGTAAGTGCGGCCAAATGCATGTATGGAGATCATGGATGCACTGAATTAAGTTTTGACTTCTAGGTCAAAAGTGAAAAATCAACATGGATTGCCTATCAAGGATCATGAAACAGCAGGAAATCAAAAGCAGTTTAGTTTCCAAGGTTTAGCCATGATATTAAGGTAAAGTGGAATAGTCTTACGTATAAAAAATAATAGTCTTATGTATAAAGATTTATTTCCACATGACTAAGAAAGTGGAAATGTGGTTAAACAGCTCTGTTGGAGAGAAGGTTCTGCAAACATTGCTGCCATTTTTGTTTTCTGGGAATGATGAAAACTCACAATTGTTCTCTCATTTATTTGACTGCTGTACTCTAAAGTTTATCTGGAGGACCTAATGTCCTTGTGTGATATAATTTGTGGTGCACAAGTGGGAAGAGCCAAAAACATAAATCAAAAGGACTGGGGTTTGAGCCTTATGACTTTGCTCTGGAACTCTTAGATGGGCTTTTTTTTTTCATTTGTTTAACTGTATTTTAGGGATTGCAAACAAAGAGCACTAATGAAGCTACTTAAAATATGAGCAAACACCTTACATATGAGGACTAAACTGTAAGGCAAAAGTGTGTTAGACTAGCGTGCATTTAGTCCACTTCATAGATGCACCTCTGAGGAAACAGGGAATTTTGGATTGCTGATATATTTAGCTAAAGGTCTTTACAAAATAATCCCAGAAAAAGAAAATCGGGAGAATAGGAAGGATACAAGGGTCAGCCAGAGACTAAAAATGAAAAACAATGTATTAAATATCCTGTGATAGGATAAAGATGTCTGTATTTTAAACACTTACTAATTAACATGGAGGTACAACAATCTAGAAAGCTATTACTTCCTCACATGCTACTTATTTCCATTCTGAAGAGAAAATATTTTTCCTGGAGTGTATAAACTTCATCTAGTATAGAGCTTTGAAATGGCATTTCTACTTCCCTACCTCACTCTGCTGATGACTTTAAATATGTCTTTTTTACCTATGGATAAATAGTTTCAGGAATTAATTATGCCAATGTAGTATTTAAAAGTTGGTGTTCGACCCCAACCTTTAAAAACAAAGAAACACTTAAAAAAAAAAAAAAAAAAAAAAAAAGGTCTTCAGGTGGATTGTTCAGCTAAATCAATGTAGTTTTGAAAGGGAAAGAAAAAGCCCTCCGGGGATGTGAAAAATGCATATTTTATGATTGGCTTTTCACAAATATTACAATGAATATTATATGTGTAATGTTAGAAAGTTATGATGTATTAATTCTCTTAAGTAGTGTGTTAAATATAGTTTTAGGTTCCAACATAATGTTAAAATAGAGCCTATGTATGTGGGGGGGAGTTTTTTTTTAGGAATGAGATACTGGCTTCGAGGAACACCTAAATCTTCCAAAGGAGAGGAATTTATGCCTTCTTCTCAGAAGAAACTAATTTATTCAGGCCTTGCTCAGACTCGAAGACACCATGGGGAATAAAGGAAACAGTTGACATACAACAGACAGAGTTTCTTGTTTTAAATAGAACGTACGCATAACCATGAAGGATGTATGAATATGCAACAAGTGAATCGTTCCAAGGTTATTCCTTTGTTCACAAGGCATGCTTCTTGTGACTTAGTGTCCGAGAGCATCCGGACGTCCATAATTCTTTGCTTTTTATTGTCTTGTAATTGTCCTAACTCTCAACTTTATTACTCTAATTGTATTATTTATTTTATAACCATTTTATTATTATCAAACTTTTAAAATTTTAAAAACCAAGTGATTGGCGTTTTTCACAGGGTGTGAATATCATTTCGTGTAAATTCAAAAGCAGGCTCGGTACTCAGCTACAGCAGCACAGCCCAGCCGCGGTGGCGGCGACAGAACAGCTTGAAAAGCTTCGTCCCTCGGCGGGGCGCACAGATAAAGGCAGGGTTTATGTAACTCTCTTTTAAAGGAACCTGATCCTTGCGCTCGCCCTTTCCTATTGGGAGTTCGCGCTTTGTTTGGGGATCCAGCTCAGCCACGCTGAGCTCTCACATCCTCCGTCTGCCGCCTCGCACACTTGCAGCGCTACAGGTATGGGTGGGCTTGCCTGGGTTTTTTAAAGTCATGGCTTTTTTTCCCCCATTAGAAACGTAGAACAAGCGCTTGCGAGGTGTGACTCAGCATGTTCGGGAGACTTCCATTTTATTTGCAGGCAGAGTGCAAGCTCATTTAAATGCAGTCGGGGGTTTGGGGGTTACTTTCTTCCCTTTCTTTCCCTTCTCCCCCACCCTTTTTTTTTTTTTTTTTTTTTTTTTCTTTCTGAGATGATGGCTCAGAAACCTGCTATTTTCCCTCCAGAGTTGGGGAAGACCTCTGAGGAGGGAGACTCAGGAGAGTCTTCCAGTATTGAAAGTGATGCTGCCACACAGCAATATCTTTATATTTTTACTAGCTGCAGATTCAAGTTAATTCTTGTTTGGTCTTCCTTTAAATTCTCAAGTGCTTGCAGGTGGAAACGGTGGTACACCAAGGCTGTGGGTTTTCAGATCCTCCTAAAATAATAGCGTTGATAAATGTAAGAGGGGGAAATTAATTTTTAAGCAATGTTTCAATAGTATCTTAGGAATAGTAAGAGATGCTGTTTGTACTACAGCAGATGCAAAAACACTGATGTATCTTGCCTATGCTACAGAGCTTGGAAGTCTATATGGCTTATAAACCATACAAGCCAATGCTATCCCTCACAGTCTTGCATCTGAAGATGTTTTCATCAGTGAATATATCTACATCTTTAAGTATTTCACGTTCTATGTGTTGCTTTACATTTTGTCAGATAGTATGAAATGCTTTAAATTAAAGCCTTTGAGGATATAGAGGCAAGGGCATTGTATTTGTGTTTCTGGAGTTCTGAAATATAACTTTCTTTAATATTTAATTCCTGGTTTTGTTATTTTTTCTGATTTAGTCTGATCAGTGGGAAACAGTTTGTGAATGGAAAATTAGTTATTTTATATATAGAACTTCCTCCTGTGATATATTTGCACTGTATTTTGCTTTATATTATCATTTATTCATTCATTTTTTTCCTAGTAAACTTATCTTAAATTAGAAGTCCTATATGTGAGACCACAACTTGAGAAAAAAGGACACTTATGGTTGTGGTTTATTTAAATAAGAAAAGGTGTGTCCAAGAGATAATACAGCTTTCAAATATGACAGCTTGTCTTAAACTGATCTGAACTAATCTGTGAAATGAAATCTCCTTGTATCTGCAGACTAGCCCTGGTGATACTGCTTGGGAGATTCTGAATTTTAAAGTCTGCAAATCCAGAATTTGTTGGCCTCTAGAATTCTGTCCGAATTTTCTGTCTGCCAGGTTGTTCATTGGCTTCCGTAAAACTGTCCCTTTACTGCCACAAATCTTTAAGTCCCACTTGTCCAGGGACACTTCAGTAATCTGCTTTTTACTATTTCTCTCTGTGTTTTTGACACAGTCAAGTTTGAAGATCCTTGTTTTTTTGCTAGCAAAGTTTCTATGGCAATACACATGATTTAGCTATAGAGAGCTTGGGCACAGCTTTATCTAAATTCTTTCCATGCTCTTGAATAATTTGTAAATGCTGTGTGAATGTTCACAAGAGTTATTCAGGAGTTATTCTGTTGGTTAACCTAAGCTTGATGGCAGACAATCATTAACTTGGGTCCAAGCAGCTACATAAAGGTGTGTTAGATTCTGCTGGTACTTTTTGACCTTTGTGAATTACTTGTTTATTTTGATTTAAGCAATAATTTGGAAAAAATTAACCATACCCTACTCTTACCTTCTTGGTAAAAGATTTGGCTCAGTTTTAAGATTTTGGGTTTTTTATATTTGGTTTTCTTTTTTTCCTCTTGGGGTTTTAGTGCATTCTTTATTTAATATTAAAGAAATGCAAGTTTATACCCTGACTTGTGCTGGTACATTTTTTTGGCATCTTTCTTAAGTATCCTTCTTCAAAAGTCTGCAACATCTGAGGCTAAAGGTGTTTAGAAAAAGGATTTATTGACACTGAAAATTTCAGTTATGTAATATTTTAAGTCCCTGGGTGAAAATATAATGCTTAATCTATGTGTAATTATATCTTTCTACACAGTAGATGTTGTTTTTTTTTTCTTTCAAAATGCTGAGTCTTGTATTAAGCCTTTACTGTCTACTAAAGAAAGCTATGCATTCCTGACAGGAAATACACATGATGAAGAGTGGAAGGACTGGCTTCATTACTATGTAAATAATTTGTGATGGTTGCCTAGCTGCTTGCTCATAACTTTATTTTTATTGTACTATTCACTGTAGGGCATGGAAATCCGAGCATGTACTAGGTCTCTGCTGAAGACTTCATAACTCATAAGAAACTCTAACAATAAACTTATTTATGTTAAATAACCCAACGGGCTTATTGACTAATGCTGCATTTTAGATCAAACAGTAATGAGCATGTTCATTCTGTTACTGCAATGATTAAGAAATTCAATAGCTGATGATACTGCTGTCTTCTGACATTTTTCAGTGTGGCATGCTTTGGTACTCATTACTGAATATTTTTTGTTCCTTAGTATCCCACATGGCCAATGAATCGAGGCCCTGCCCATGTGATATTGGGGACAGGTTTGACTATGGAGGCCGTGGGCAGGAGGTTCAAGTTGGGCACATCAAAGCCTATGTCTGCAAACCTTCTGCCAGCACCGACAAAGCTGTGATTGTGATTCACGACATATTTGGATGGCAGCTCCCAAACACCAGATACATAGCTGATATGCTAACAACTAATGGATACATGTAAGAAATACTGCTGTTTTCAAAGATTCTTTTAATATGAAAGTTTATTGAACTGTTTCCTTTTTTCATATAAACTATACAAACACAAATAATTTCAGTCTTTCGTTGCCCCTTTCTCCAAGGGGCTTTCTAGTAAAACAGTGAAAGACATAATGAGTTAGTAGGTAATAACAGAAGAAGAGGAGAGAAACATAAAATTTTCTTATTCTGCATCTTTTACCCTCCTTGAGCCTGTAGCAGCCTGCTTCCTCCCTTCCTCTGTGCAACTTGCCTGGTATGGTAAAAATTCCAAAAAAGCTGAAGATATTTCTATGAAGGGAAGGTGCACTAGCTTGTGCCAAATAGAGAAACAAATTCTCAAATATATGAAAAGCATATTGAGTGTCCTCTTTCCTGTATTACTGGGATAGTATTCCTTCCAGGCTAAACATATGTATCATGTAAATTGTCGTTTCTTTGGTTTGGTTTTGGATTTCTTTTTTTAAGTTTGGTAGGAAACCACCAAGGATTTTCAGTTACAGTTAACTATTTATCAAATTAAGTAATGAATTTTTACAGGGTAAAATGTAACTGGAAATTATATTAAGTCTTCTTATTACATGTAGAAAATTATTGAGGATTGTTGGTATAATGCTTTGGTGAGGGTTAAGTACTATGTATTCAGCAAAAAATTTGTTGTGTAATACATATGGCCTTCCCTTTAATCCTTTTCCAGTATTATTTCATGGACATAAAATATTTTCATTTTTCTTGCAGAGCCATCTGCCCAGATTTTTTTGTGGGACAAGAAGCTTGGAAACCTTCTAACGACTGGGCATCTTTCGATGACTGGGTGAAAACACGAGATGCCGGCAAAATAGACAAGTATAGCCATTATTCCTCGTCCATCTAGGGGACATGGGACATCCGTATTTCATAGGAATTTTTGCCTCAGTAAAAATGTAAAATTAGATCCTAAATTATTAGTGGGTCAAATATAGCTGGATGTCCACAAATAGAAAGTTCATGCAGCTCATGGGACAAGCTCATGGTTATGTGAGTGGTGCTTTACAGATAAAAGTAGACATTTGAAGCATAAAAGTTCCCAGTGTTTGTCTGTACAGAAAATAGAAGCAAAATGAATGAACGAAAAGGAAAGAACTAGCAAAGGCTAGAAAATGCAGCTCACTCCAGCTGCTTCAATCCCACAGGAAGGCACTAATTCCATGGATTTCAGATAGGGTGCAAATGCAAACACTGTGTAACGAGGGAACATTTCTTCTGCTCCCCATCAGATCACAGCTAATTCAAAGCATACTGTTTTCCACTTTTCTGTATTTTTCCCATTTTTATCTGACACATAGCTTGATTGCATAAAGTAACTGCTAATTTAGAAAAAACAACTGGAAATCTGCTTCCACAGTTTTATAAAGTATTTGTCATCCTTGTGAGAGATGTTTTGCATGTAAGTTACATTTGTGATAACAGGACACTCTTGACTGGCTGTGGGTCTCAAACTTTTATTTGTGTTCCCCTGTATGACAACTACTGCTATTTATGAAATTAATTGGACTGCTGTTCATAAAATCATTTCATGTCCTAGTATAAATAATCTAGGAAGACTGATTTTCTCCTTTGTCTTCTGCCCTGGATTTTGTCTTGTATTTTAGAAATGAATAATAGTAAAGTAGTGTTGTGGGTTGATCCCAACCAGGAGTCAATCAACTTACCACTCAGTTGCTCCCACGAGAGGAACAGGGGAGAGAATAAAGGAAACAAAGCAAGAAAACTCATAGGTTGAGATAAAGACAATTTGATAAGTAAGGGAAAGAGAAGAAACAGGAGTGATGCAAAGACAGTCGCTTTGTCCCAGGAGCAGATTGATGCCCACCCGGACTTTGAGCAGCAGCCACCAAAGAGGCCAGAGAAACAGGCTAGAGCCTTAATTCACTTTTATTTACATGTCTCAGAGAAATTGATGTCGTCCTCAAATATCTAAAGGACCAATGTGGTGCGAAGAAGATTGGTGTCATTGGGTTTTGCTGGGGTGGAGCAGCAGTGCAACATCTGATGCTGAAGAATCCCCATTTAAAGACTGGAGTGTCCCTCTATGGTAAGCCTGAACAACCTGCTGCATTCTGAGCAGAATACCAGTGCAGGAAGCAATTCTGTAGGGCTATTGCTGTAACAAAATTCTGTGTGACTTCTACTGGAACAGAGTCATTTTATTATAAATAATCTATAAGTGATTTGATTTTGCACACTCATGTTTTTACACTCAAGTGTACCTAGCAAGATCTATGTACTTAAAGAGTGTCATGACCAGGATAGCATCTGTGAACATAGTGCCAAATGCCATGGCCTCACTGTAGCTGAGATTCCTTTTGATTGGCGATGACAAAAGGGCTTCTAGGCCCTTTTACATCTTTTAGACAGTTGTCCCTCGTTACGAATAGGAACCATTTTTAACTCTCTGTTTTAACCCTGTACTCTTGCACATTACTCAATGCATTTATACTGCCTTTGATATTTTTCTTATCGACCTCTGTACTTCTACAGAATCCAGACTAATTTATATTGATTAGAAGTGAAAACAAATTGAAGGTGTTTTTCCAGAAAGATTATTGGGATTGTTTTGCCTCATTGATAAGCTGATCAGTTGAGTCAATTCAACAGTGTTACTTGCTAATATTTTACTTTTTTGTTGTAATAATCTCAGGAATGAAAAGAGTAGCCAGGTTGGCAGCTGGTTAGTTCTACTGTAACTTCTATTGAAATGCATTTGAATAGTCAAAATTAGAATGGGAATTTTTTGTGAAATCATATCAGTCTAAATTACATACACTGAAATTGTAACCATGTATGTGAAATTATCAATATTGACAATTGTCTTAAAACTGATATTCCCAAGCCAGAGGTGAGCAGTTCTAAAGTGTCCATCTCTCACAGAGCTCTGTCTCCGACAGTGGTCAGAAGCAGTTGCTCAAAGCAACCCGCAAAAGTGGGGCAAGTGAACACTTCTTCCCTGGTTTTTCCCACAGAACTGGTCTCAGTTCTTTTTTCACACAACTGATGTTATCTTTAATGACATTGCAAACATTCCACAACAGAAGGAACTTTTAAGCAAAGTGTGTTAAATTCCATTACAAACTGACCAGCTGTAACTGATGAAAATGTCTCAAAGTTTCACTGTATAGATTTTGTAATGTTTTAACTACTTTAGGTAGCACAACTTCTTCTATGTATGTTTTCTTCTTCCTTAGGAGTGATCAGGCGTTTTGAGGACAAACACAGTTTGCTGCATCCTACCTTCTTCATTTTTGGTGAGAAGGATGACATTATTCCATTGGAGCAGGTGAGTTCCCCATCAAAGATATTTGTCTTTTTAATGCTTTTCATGCTTGTTTTGTAATTTGGTTTTTAATGAACACAAAGTAGAAAACTAATTTGCACTTTTCTTTCTCTTTCACTATCTCTTACAGTACTTCCATACAAATTTATGCTGTTTATCCCCAAATAAAAAAGTTTTACCATGACACTAAAAGCATTTTCTGTTCCTGTTTGAAAATTTGGGTGATTTTCATCAGTTCCTAGGAAAAGAGCAAGAATGCAAAGAAAGCCTTCTGAGAAATTTAACATAGGGGATCCTTTTTATTGATACCAATGGTCCATACTAAAAGCATTTTCTGTTTCTGTTTGAAAATTTGGGTGATTTTCATCAGTTCCTAGGAAATTAGCAAGAAGGCAAAGAAAGGCTTATGACAGGTTTATGATAGGAGACCCTTTTTAGTGATACCAATGGTCCATAAAATCTACCTGTTCCAATGGAATCACTTGTTGCAGGAGAATTAAAAAGATTCTGTGGCTATCCTTTTCCTTTTCCACTGTCCTACAGAAATTTTCCTTTCTGTCACTCTGTCAATAGCCTTTCTCTGGAGCCTGAGTAGGGAATGACTGGAGAAGGATGATTATCTGCCAAGGGGATCAAAGGGAAAAACGTTTTTATTGAGTGATGTTGGCTTTAGCTTTCCTAGCAAAAATTCCAGTCACTTTGAACTGCTGGTTTTGTCTCTGCCCTTCCTCCTCCAACTTCAAATTAATTCAAACTCCTGCCCCATTTTTTTAATGTGAGGGCTATCAGCAGCAACTCATACAGTGTTCACCACATGAAAACCTTCTCATGATGCTGAGCAGTAGGTTTTTTACCTTTACAGGCATTAATAGTAATCCAGGTAATATTTTCTTTATGTTTTATACAGTCACATGATGGTATTTTACTGGGGAAAAAAGGCCTAGTTAAATAAAGCAAGTACAGTAACAGAAATGCATTTAGGTATAAAATTAGTAGAAAAGAAAACAGTGGCAAGGATAAATTGTCTGACTTTCAGAAAAGTAAAAATGAGGACAGTTTTGGGAATGTAAATACAGAATGTGTTAACTTTGTACTTAGCCAACATAGAATGTTCTGTGTTACAGGTCACCTTGCTGGAGCAGAAGCTTAAACAGAACTGTAAAACTGATTATGAAGTTAAAATTTACCCTGGACAGACACATGGGTTTGTGCATCGCAAAAGAGAAGATATCAATCCTCAAGATAAACCTTATATTGAGGAAGGAAGAATGGATATGATCAACTGGCTGAATAAATATCTTTAGATTAAATTAATGCCAATAAACAAAAACAATTGTAGTAGGAAATCAGAAAATAATACAGACTATATTGTTTAAAATGTTCTTACAACCATAAAAATATTTTGTAAAACTCTTCTGCAATAACACTACTTATTTGCACTTACCTTCTAAGTAGGGGCTTAGAAATGGCTTTTCAAATGATGAAAGCTATAAATGTAAAGAAGATTTTTAACACTGGTCTTGTATATGTTAAAATTATTAGGATTTCATGTGGCATATTTTCTGTCACCTGAAAGTTTAATTTTTTTATATTAATGTCAACATGATTAAAAGTCACTGAAACTCTGCCCATGCTTGAGAAATTCTCTCCTTAAAGCTGTGTTTAGTGTTGTTTAGCTGTGAGATTTTCAGCTTCAAGATTTTCAGCTTTTAGGTAAATATAGTTCTGGGTTGGAAGGTTGGGAGATTTTCTTGGAAACAGAATATCCTATTCAGAATTCATAAAGAGTCAGCTAGAAAAGGGAAGGGGAAAGACAATGGAAAGAAATGTATGTGAACAGAAAGGGAGCTGCAAAAAGTTGGGAAGCATGACTGAAGAGATTAGAGGAAATTACATAATTGCACAATTATCTTGATGCAAATCCTTCATGTCTCATGGTTTCAGGCAGTTGCCCTACCTACTGAACCTAATTCAGAATTGATCTAAACCAATCTCCAACATTGCCTCCTCACCTCCACAAATCATTCTTTTATCATCAGGTTTCTCTCTGCTGTGATTTCATTGGGTATTGTTATTGGTAAGGTACAGCCCATTCCTAGTGACTGGGGAACATTACCCTGTTTCAGCTCCTTTGGACTCTTCCAGTGTATTCCCAAAAACCATGTGGTGAGATCTTGCCTGTATTTGTGATGTAGCTAAAACATTGTACTGAACATTTCCCATTTTCCTCTCTGGTAAATATGTGTTCTAGTTGCAGCCCCTCCATGGTTTCCATTGCCCCACAACATTTTTTCTTTTTGAGTGTGCTGCTGCCAGCCGTGCCTGACAGCTCTCTCAGGAAGTCACATTCCCTCTGGCTCTTCCCTAGCTGGGGGCCTAAGTCATCTGTGGTGGGGTTGTAGCTGCATGGTGTCTCTTCGGATTATCCCACCATATGGTCCCAAATGCCCAGCAGTGCTTCAACCGTTCCTCCATTTCAACCCCCTTCTTCACATCACTCCTTCCCTCCTGCAATGCACTCTGTATGTCCCATGAGAAAATGGTTCTCTCTGCAGCATGCTGGTTGATATTAAAGAAAATCTATGTTTCAAAAAGATTTTATGTGAACCTTTGAGGCAAAAATGCAAAATCTTCCTTTGCTCCTTGGTTCATGCCCTTGGTCAGTGATTATTGCTGTTCTGTGGTTTGGACACTGCGCATTGTGTTTCCATCTCCTTGCTCAATGATTTCAGGAGCAATGAGCCTTCAGTTCTTACTGGGTCCAGCCAGTGCAGGGAAAATCTCTTCAGGTCTGCAGGGCATTGTTACTATCAGTCATGCTGGAAGAAATAGTCCCTGCACACTGGAGGTGAGAAGTTCCATGATGTCTCCCCTGATCCTGCCCTTGTGCTTAATCTGTGCAGACTCCCAGTGACTTATAGACAGAGGGAAGGGCTAGACAGTGACTTCTGTGCTTCCTGCCAGTCCTGGCTTGGTTCTGTTCTCAGCAGGTAGAAGAGAGGAACAGCTTCCCAGGAGAGAACTGCAGGCACCTCCAGGCACTGGTGTGGGCATATCTGAGGTGTGTGCCTGCCCAGTTCTAAGGAGTGGGAGCATAACGATGCACAAACCTGCCCGGAAGGAAGCGATGTAGGTTTGTGGTTCAGGAAATCTGTAAAGTGTAAATTAAATTCCCAGCTCTGGATTCATAGCCAGTTTATCAGGGTTGCTATGAGAACAGAGAGAGATGATGAGACTGAACTCTCTACAACAATTTTCTCATGTGGATTTTAAATAAAAGAGCCTTGGTTTCTCTGAAGATAATGTCTTGGTTGGCAAACTTGTCCAACTTGGTTTTTTTTTATGTGAATGAACATAAAATTCTTATTCTTCTCCCTATTCTTAGGGAATAGGGCTAAATGTTGCCAAATTTTCCCTGAGATGAGGAAAGACTGTAAAACTGAAGAGTATTTTGCTAAAATTCTTTTTCCTTGGACAATTCAGTGTCTCTTGCTGTAGGACAGGTGTTACATTTTATGATATATTTGTTTTTATAGGAAAAAGCCAAAAACAGGTGCATTAGAAAACATCATTGCCAGCAGGTCAAGGGAGGTTATTCAGCTCTGCTGAGGCCACATCTGGAATACTGTGTCCAGTTCTGGACTCCTCTGTACAAGAGAGACATGAAGGTCCAGCGGAGTGCAACAAAGATGATGAGGGGACTGGAACATCTCTCTTACAACAAGAGGCTGGGACAACTGGGCCTGTTCAGCCTCAGGAAGAGATGACAGAGGGGGCCTCATCAGTGTCTATAAGTATCTGAAGGGAAGGGGTCAAGATGACAGAACCAGGCTCTTCTTGGTGGTGCCAAGCAATAGGAGAAGAGGCAATGGGAAGAAAGTGATGTATGGGAAGTTCCACCTGCATATGAGGAAGAACTTCTTTACTGTGCAGGTGACCATGGACTGGAGCAGATTGCCCAGAGTGGCTGTGGAGTCTCCCTCAATGAAGGTATTCCAAGACTGTCTGGATGCAATCCTGTGCAATGAGCTCTAGGATGACTCTGCTTGAGCAAGGAGGTTGGGCCAGATGACCCACTGTGGTCTCTTCCAACCTTTGCAGGGATTTTGTGATTCTGTGAAATACACTATCTAAGATGAAAGACTCAGAAAACTCAATACTGGCACAAGCATTTTGGTAGCATCTATTATCTTTAATCAGTTTAATATTATACTGGCTTAACTTCTTTTCCAATTTGATTACCTTTTTTACATGCTAAATGGGAGCTTTTTTATGGGTTTCAGTTAAATCTTTATGGCAACATTTTTTAATCCACAAAATGCCTCTTCAACTCTGTTCCTTTTTCTGCATTGCTCTCTGTCAAGTTCACGTTTGTTTTTTTTTTTTGTTTTTTTTTTGGGTTTTTTTTTTACTATGGTGTCTAAATCAGATAGCCATTGTTTTAGCTTGTTAATTTTTCTCAGCTTCTTTGACTCCTACATTGGAATGGGCTATTAGTGTAGAGGCCATAGCAAGCAAAGACAAAGAAAAGCACTCCTGATCCCTTCACCTCCCCCCTCCCCAGCTCCTCCCCTCCCCTGGACATGCATACATAGCAGTGCCAATATTCCCATAAAATAATGTGCACCCAGGCAGTATAAAAAAATGCCCTCCACCTTCTGGCTTGCAGGCAGGAGTTCATCTGTGGTTTATGGTACATTATAAGAGACTGTGCACTTGCTTTAAAAATGTGTCCCTCTGTACAGCACCAAGTGCATGAATGTGGGGAACAGTTCTTCCTCAGCTGCAAATTCTGACTCCAAGGAACTCTGCTGCTAGGTCTTGAAAGGGCTTTTTTGTCTTATTTTTTCTTTGAAGCAGGCCCTAGGGAAGGAGCTGTATCATCACTATGCTGGATTAGTGAGGTTTCAGGCTAGAAGCCTGACTAGAATTTGAACTTGATGGAATTTGGAGAATTGATGGAAGATGTGATAGAGATGACTACACCAATAGATCCAGGTCTAGTCCATCTGAATGCCCGGTTGTAACACCTTTTGGGCACATTCACAGGCATACTAAGTTTGCTATTTAGAACTGTAGTTGCCTACATAGGTTGTGATCAAACTGGACTCCATATCTTTAACTAATGAGATTTCAATGTGTTTTGCCACAGACCAGGAGTGGTAGTTTAGGCTCTAGAGAGGCGCACTGAAGACACAATTTTTTGAGGTAGGGTGTTTTGTCACAGGGACACAAGACAATCTAGTTTAATTTTATTTGAGGTAAAAAAAATAAAGGTAGACTCCACTGAAAGCACTTTAGTCAGAGCTCCCATGGGAGGAGCAATGGGAATTTGGTATGTACTTCCTCTTTATACCTTCAGAAACCTCCAGTGTGCTTCACTTATTTTCTGGTTTCTAATGTTTGGCACTGAAGTTTATCAAAGCCCAGTGAATAACAGAATGCTAAATTTCAGAAAGTGAGGAGTGGAATGGGCTAATGAAGCTCCAAAACAAAGTTCCCCTTTCAGACCATCAGTGGAGCAGATGGTGACACCTGTGGCAATACATTTCCTTTCCTTCCTTTCTTGCCACTGCTGTATTAAGAGCTTGTGAGGAAATTTCACGTCTGGGCTGGTAGTTTGCCCAGAACTTCAGCAAAGCTATGCTAATGCTATTTGTTAGGGGGATTGCAAGTTATTCCAACTGCACTAATAAACTGTTCTTCAGTTTTACTTCCAGGTGTTGAGCTTATAGATTGTTGACTGTTTCTTTAAAGGTCTTTTTATTTTCCCAAAATCCTTAGAAAGGTAAGAAAATTGCTAAGAAACTTTAGATGGGTGGCTAAGACAAAGGAAAAAAACCTTTCTTTTCCCTCTGACTCCTTTGAGCAAAAACCAGAAGGTAATTTTTAGGCAAGAAGAAAGAGATGTAGAGGAAAGGGATAAACTTGCATGTTGTATATATTTGCAAAAACTGTAGTTTGCTGTGCTCTGTGATGCTGCTTTGGAGAGCGGTGAGCTGTGAAAGCTCTCCCTGTCAGTAGGACAGCAGTAGGGTAGCAGCTCGGGGAGGTTAGGAGTGCAAGGTGAATTGACCCTATTGGATGGTTTGAATAGACTGAGAGCTTGTTATTGCCCTGCCTTTCTCCTGTTTTCCTCACCCAGCTGGTTTAGTTCCAAAATCACCCAGAATTTTTCTTTCTGAGACATAGATACACCCTGGCTGAAAATGAAAGGGACTCACTCATGTGTGTTATCTACTAAACATGAAACCAACTTCTGGCTCCACAGGTAAAGTAATTTAGAGGTGGCCTCCTGCTCAGGAGTGTTCCTGATGTGTACAGTTGTATATCATAGCTGTGTTTTAAGATGTGATAACCAGAAGAAATGTTCTTTCTTTATAGTGGCATATAACAAATAGGGTTAGAAAAGCTAAATAAATAAAATGGTGGAACTTTCTTTGCTGATATAACTGTGAAATCACATAATTAAAATCTCTCTAAGCTGGAAAAATGGGAATAACAAAGTACTGCAGCAACATTATTTGTTGCTGCTCCTTTCCAGCCTACCCTTCGCTGATGCCCTTTTGCTACGCAACACCAAGGCAGAGGGGAGCACTGTTGTGCCTGGCTGTCTCACGGCTGCTG